TTCCTGTTTCAATCTCTCGCACTTAAAAAGTCTTCTCTTTTTATCATGTCCCAGAAATATTTCACCTAATTTTAGTTCCTAATTGTAGTTTCCCTAGTAATGTCATACACCAGTACTGGTACTTGTCCAATTCATAGATATCTTATATACACTAGATAGCACATCTGTTTTGGTAAAATTGAAGCCAAGAATATTCCAGCGGTTACCCCCATTTGAATAGATGGCGGCCATGTTGGTAGTTCCCACTCGCTAATAAACGCTCAAAAAACAACAATATCTTTCATCATTTGAATAGTTTAAAAATGTATTTGGAATAGGTTTAACTTAATGTTTAAGTTCCCTGTTTAAGAAATAGAAAACATACGAATCTTCTCATTTCATGGGAATATCCTGAGTCTGCAATCACGGCTTCAATTTTTGAATTGCAGAATAATTAGATGCACATCTAGTGTATATAAGATATCTATGGTCCAATTACCCATTTTACTAGTCGCGTTTGAAATTCCTGAATAATACTTTAATAGTACTGTTTACACGAGAAAAACTAGTAAGAGTAATAGTCGGTTGTTTTATTCATCTCATACTCCTGAAAGCTTAAACCACGGTTAACCGACACCGTAATGTATATGAACTGTAAAGTTAGTAAAACAAACTAAAAGTAGAACGCAGAATGCATTAGTTTCTTAAATACATAGTTTTGATGAACCATTGCCAAAATGCTCTAATTTTTTCGTTTTACGGTTGTACAGTATTAACAAAATATTGAATTAGTGTTGCATCTCAATTTTTTTATTCTAAAATAAAACAATACTATAAATAAAATATTTTATTGAAATAAACAAAAACAGCTTGCTTTATTATTCTTTTCGAATTTACGTTTGAATCAAGGACTCCGTTTTCTTATACACCCTACATACACTAGCTCACATAAAAGCATCACGGACCACTTTATACATTGTTCTATAAAATCGATATTACAAACTTTTTGGGCCGCGGTAACAGGCAAACACGGCGTTCTAACCAGGAGCCTGGCTCCCAAGGCAAATACGTTTTACCGACCTGATTCTCGGCTGTCATAGTAACAAGGTCCTCCTGTACTCTCTTGTTCTCCCTAGCAACAGCATCACGTAATCTAGTTGTTTCACCCAAGTCATCATCCTTTCTATCCAGGTCACGTTTCAATGTTTTAATTTCTCGCTGTTTTTGATTCCCCTCGCCAAGTGCATGCCTGAAATAACACATTTCTACATATTACAGAGACTTAGATTAGGGGTGAATCAAGTTTGACCAGGCAAGAGGAGGTTGCTAAGGGAGATGAACTCAGCAGTGTTCTGCCAGAGGCCAGAAACGAGCAGTGGGATGGTATAGGGGATTTTAGATTTCAGGTCTTGAAAACATATTTTTCTTCCTGGCAACTCCAAAAATAATATTTTTTTGTCTAACTCAGACCAAATATAAAACTTCCTGCATATGTAGATTTCAGAGAACGTATGGTGCCGCACATTAATTAATGTGATAAACTTCGATCTCAGCATACGATAATTTTGACTCGCAAAACGCTTTTGGATTATTTATGGAATACATGATTACATTAATTTAATTCAGTATAAAGATGTAAGAAAATTTCCTGCGAAGATATTTTGTTAAAATTTTCCTGGCAGCCGTGCTACTAGCGCTGCCGGACATCTTCCAGCACTGTTACATTCTAAGCTTGTGAAAAAATTGTAAACAAATTAATAAGGTTGCCTAGGTGGTTTTGAGAGGCCTCCAAATGACCAAAATATTATGCATAAATGCAATTATGCAACTATGCACATTCATCCAGGGATATTTTCAAGCACTTTTCTACTACCGGTATACGGTAGTAAATACTCAATCTTCAATTGAGTTTTAAAACTCAATCTTCCTCCAGAATGATTTTTTTCACAATTATAAAAACCTGTTTTTCTATATAATTTTGTTCAAAAAGCTGTCGAAAACTGTTTCACTTCTGAGACACAAAATCTCGTAGAGAAATACTCATGCCCATGCACACTACAAATGTGTATCACAAACAGGGCCGCACATTACGGGGCTGTGTGAAGGGGTGTGACACCCCCATAATTTTGAGAAATAGTCCAAAAAGTCGGTCCCAAATGAAACAAAATTATTTTTTCCGTGAGATTTATTTTTGAACAGTGTCCAAAAATAATAAGGTTACAGAATTGCTAATTGCCATTATACACTGCCTGAATCAACTTCTTTTCTGTGCTCTACAGCCAGCTGATGGCCAAACTAGATTCTGAAAATGCCATTTCCGACGATCTAGAGACTTCAAAGTTTCAAAATTTTTCCGCTCGCCGCCGATCATGATGGCGCCTCGTGGAACTCCCCCTTCCAAAATGTAAACATGTAAAAACTCGGTCCCGAAATATTTTAAACCCCTGCAAAATATTTTGGAATGTGCGCCCCTGACCATAAAATATTTTAACGTTCTCCCCCCAAAAGGAACTCAATCTTCTGAAAAACGGTAGTAGACATCTGCATGGGTGCAATGACTTTAGATCAGTTGTATTATTTTTGGTGATAATTGCCCTGCTAAACCCCCCAAATGACACCACTAGGCACGTCATTTTCACATCCACCTTGTCGTCGCCTCTGCGTTGCAGTCCACAATTTTATCGTAACCTTTTATATTCTGTAAGGGCGCGACCGTAAGTATGTACAGTACTTACTGCAATTTGGCCTCCACGTCATCAATAGTGAGTTTTAGTTCATTCTCTGTTTTGTCCTTAGAAGAAAAAAGATATTAAGTTAATAAACCAGAGGAACAGAAAGCAAAACATCCCTTTATAGAGACTATGTGCCAGACAGTCATTCAAGAAAAAAGGCATTAAACCGAAACAGGCAGATAATAAGCAGTTTTTCGGAACAGCGAATTTTATTAAAACAATAAAACCATGCTTTTATTTTTAAACAATAAACATGTACATGCACGAATGTGTATAGCTCAACAATAATATTTCTAATACTCCATACTCGGGAGGTGGATAGACAGTGCTTTTCTCGCAATTCCATTGGTTGTTCAGCTCCCGATATCCTTGCACTATTCACCTCCAGACAAAAAACAAAATGGCTTCCCGTTTCGTTCCGGTTACAGATAAGCAAATCTTTGTACTAAATGAAGCTTCAGTCTCGCCAAACACAAAGAAAGTCACAAAGTTTTGTTTAACAGTGTGTAGAGGTATTCTTTAAAGCCATTTCAATCTAATGAATAAAAATGATAAAATTACCGAAAGCGTGTTTTGTTCACTAATTTGTATTTCAACTATACGGGAGCTGAAATACAAATTGTTTTAAAAATACCTCACGCGTTTCGGTGAATATCCTTGCACTATTCACCTCCACTTCGGTGACTAATTGTTAATTATACTTTAATATTTCGATCATAATTCGCCTCGGCACTCGGAAATTGCCGAGCAAATGCCGACACATATTGACAATGTTCTTTAATACCTGCCTCATCAGAAAAATCCCCAATTTTACCGACTAGGCAAAAACAGGCCATTTACGAGGGTTAATTAAGGTTTCTTAGTTTTCAATAACTGTGGGGTCCATATTCGTAGTTTTATACGGAAGCTTTCAACATTTTTTCAGCGGTTAAAAAAATCACTATGTGGTGGATAGCTATCCACCCTTCGTAGCTGAATGGCCCAGCTATTCAGTCTGCTTCGTATAAGGGGCCCAGGTCATCGTCCTGTTTATTCAAAGTCTATCAACTTTACTCCACATCAATTTTGGAAAATATATTATGTAGAAATACAATTACGTAGGCTAGTATGACGGGTTTTGTACCTGTTTCACACGTCGCGCATCAAGTGCCATTACACGTTCTGTTTTTTCATCAACCTGTTGCTGTAAATTATCTTTCTCGATATCAAGAGACTTGACTGTACCGCGTAGTTTGACGATATCTTGTCGTAAAGCTGAATTTAACTTCTCCATTTCGTCTAAAAGAAGAATTTATTATTGATTCATTCGAGATTTTCAGACTTGGCATTTTCTACCCAGGACAGAGCCCCCAGTTAATACCGTTTCTTGACTTGAAAAGGGTGATATATCCACTCCTTTAGAAATACGTGAACATGCATGCATACTATATTGATCTTTACTTAGAAAGATTAATTTATTTTAATATAAAATGATGTACGTAAAAGCACACATGTATTTGAAATTTTCAAAAAAAATAAAAGCATGACATATCGCATTTTTTGAAAATTTCAAATACATGATTTTTTCTGTGTTGGTGTAATGTACTCAGGTGAATATGATGCTTGTGATGTTACTCTGAGTAACATTTCAAATACATGTTTGAAACCTCTCGCACCCAAAGCGAGAATCATAAAAGCACAAGTCCTTTGATATTTAGCTTTGGAATAGTATATAGAGTAGTCGTACAGTATGCCTCAAATTGATCCTGCTTTTCAAATACTACTGTAAAGATGCTTCTTTTTCTCAAATTTATCCCAAACAATGAAATATTATTTACAAAAAGTATTATACACGGTACTACATAAACTACATTTACTGTACCTATTTTTTGTTCTAAACTCCGTATATTTTCATCATTTTCCCTGAGATCATCATTTTTCCTAGCCAGCTGACGTTGACAGTCCTCAACTGATCTCTCAGCTTGGTCTGCAATCAATCTCATTTTATTCGCCTCAGCTTCCTTCTCCAAAGTTGTATCACGACAGGACACGAATTTTGACGATGTTTGCCTTAGTTGTTCGTCTAACTCCGACACGGTACTTTTGAGAGATGCGATTTTCATTTCGGCATCCCGTTTCTCTTTTTCAAGCTATAGAACAAAAAATACACAATGATGAAATATCAAATTCAATAGTCTCTTTGCATTAACCAAGTTTGGAGGGAAGACTATAAAGTTATAACTGTCTGTGTCAGTGTATGTAGTGGCAATAATATTAACACGCTTTCGTTGGTAGGGATGCAACTATCTGAAAAATATAAGGAGAATTTCGACGTTTCGAGCGAAGGCTCTTCGTTTGGAGTTACAAGTGGGGGTCGGGAAAAATACATGAGCTTTTATACTGAGATTATAAAAACATCACGTGACAAAAAATAAACCAATCACATGGCTTTAGTCAAAACAAAGTATAAACAAAAGATGTAAATCACATTGCAGAATATATTAATACAAATACACATAAAACTACAACAAATAAAACAAAATATATGAAATAAGTATGGAGTTTTCCCCCAATCTTCCAGGGAAACTGGAAGATCTTTTAGGACACGGTTTGGTGAGCATCGGCGTGTCTTGCAATTTTTGCACCGATTCCTGTGGCAGTTTTCTTCTCTGATGCACGTAAACGAGTGGATAAGTTTTGAATGTTCTGGGCATAGAAACCCTGATCTGAACATTCGTAACTCATCCACTCGTTCACATCCATCAGAAGAAGGAAAACGCCTCTAAAATCGTGGCAAAAATTGCATGTGTATAAACGGCCCTTAAGAGCATCTGCACACTGTGTCACTCACATAGATAGTCACTTATCATTCATGTTTGGCCACGGACCACAGCTGTGCCAAGCGGTTAAAAAGGTTATGTTTTTCAGTACGAACGTTTTGACGAAGCTTTTCTCAAATTGTTTTCTTGGACACTGTTTTGTATATATTAAGTGTTTCTTATGCCTTTTAAGTCAGCTGTAATTTAATGTTTAGATGGATCTTCGAATAAATCAGAGGCCGGTTGTACTGTACGAAGGCCGGAAACCACTATCCACCGGATAGTGAAGTTTTCTAACTTTGTATTTAAGAATACCTGAAAAGCTACAAAAGAAGAATAAAAAACTTTTAACTTATTATACTAAATTTTAATCTGGGTTTAATATACCAATCAACGACCAATTTAACGAAGGTTGGGATTTACTATCCGGTGGATAGTGTCACACTTGAACTGGTAATGGCTACCTTCTCTAAAGCTGATTCCAAATCTGCAATACTTTGTTGATGTCTTCGTCGTTCTGAAACAGCGCTGTCCGTTCTAACCTAAAAAATCAGAAATCTTGCGTATAAGAAAATGTAAATTCGTAACTGTATCGTGTAGCTCAATTGGCAGAGCGAAAGACAAGAATGACGATGGATGGACTTATTCAGGTGCGAGGAATTGCCATGGAAAAGTAGGGTACTGATTATTTGCAGCAATAGGCGGCAAAGTTTTTGATTTATTGGTAAAAGTTTCAGATAACGAAAAGGCTACAATAAAGGCCTTCAGAACAGTATCATGACCTAGACTCAAGCATATTTGAAATCATTTTAAACCTACAAATTCAGCTTCGATATACGTATACGTACAAATAAAGCAAAACAAAAAGCAAGCGAAAATCTTGACTGAGCCCATGCATGGTGAACTGCAATGAATTCTCAGCGACATGGTCAATTTGTCTGCGCAATTTTCCGCTCGTGATTGTTGTAGTCATTAACACATTCATTGCAGAAACCAGGCAGGACTAACCTTCAATTGTTCTTGTAATGATTCAACCTCACTTGAAGCTCTCCTGAGATCAGCAAGTGCTTCGTCTCTCTCAGCCTCAACGCGAGATAAGATTGTTGAGACTGTCCGTGATGGGGACGGAGACCGGGATCTAGTTACTTGACGACGTAATCTCTGGATTTCTTCTGTTGCCTACATGACGTATGACAACAGCAAATATTGAAACAGAACAAACAATAGTTCTACACACGCAAAAATCTCATATCTTGTAGCAAGTCTGCCAACAAGTCGTCAACAAGTTGTGTTCGCACTGCTTGTCCCAAGTTGTCATGCAACAAGTTTGGAACAAGTTGTTAACAACTTGCAACAACCTTGTTGATATTATCGGACTTGCTGCAAGGTTGTTCCAACAAGTCCGATACATTCATGATATAAAAATATTGTTACAACCTTGTGTCGTCAACCTTGTAACATTCTTGTTATATCATGACTGTATCACAGTTGATACAACAACCTTGTAACAAGTCTGACAATGCCATCAAGCTTGTTACAACAACTAGGAACAAGCAGTGCGAACACAACATGTCGACAACTTCTAAGCAGATTTGTGACAACTTGTTTGCAGACCTGTAACAACATGTATGCAGACCTGTAGCAACTTGTGCGTTTTAACGCATGTAGGCGGCACGACTAAAATTATAGTTCACGTACAAAATCGTGCTGTGCCAAATGTTACAGCGTACTCTGTGTGTTGGGGGAGGTGAGCGCCCACCTCTCTTGTCCTTGTCAAATTGAAGGTGCATACTCTTTTAGCCTTGGCAAACGGAAATGCAAGAGGGCTGCCAATTTCCTTATCAAATCCATTTCTTGAATTTGGTAATTCACGCAACACAACAACAATATATTTATTTGTACTCGAACATTACAAGTTAAAGAGGAATAAGTAAACACACGATAAATAATTACAATTGATGAGTACTGGCCATTGATGAGTACTGGTCACCAAGTGTAGACAGCAGATGATATTGTAATGGAACATTCAGCGGCTCTCTTAATTGGTATAGATATAACTCAAAATTTTGACTCTTATCATTATTTTTAGTTTTTCTCACAGCAGCGGGGTGTAAAGATGTAATTGTGGCTGCATGCGCCATAGATGATTGTGCCGTGCCTTAATGGACCAATCCCCAAATAATAAAAATTTTGAACTCAACAAGTCTAGACAAAAATTTCATCACAGCTAGCCTGCGAACAGGCTCTCAAGCTGAATTGAGAGCCTGCATCGATGACTAATGAATTTGAATATCTGCGTCTCAAATCGTGACGCGAAATTCTCATTGGTCAGATGCTATAATTTATATGTTTCCGCTGAGCTCTATATATGTTAACTGCCGAAGCACTATGCATAAAAAACACATTAAATGATCAAATTGGTTTTGGCCATCTTATCTCAAAGCACGAAATGATCTGATTTGAGAAAACAGTATTTAAAACATTTGAACTTTCGCTTGAATATCTTATATTTCGAAAAACAGTATAAACTGTACGGTCTAAATTTAGTTTGCACGGTCTAAATTTAGTTTGCACGAAAGTTGTAAACAACACCATATAAGGATAGGCATTCCATATTTGGAAAAACGAACGTTACGGGGCAGATATTCAAATTCATTCGTCATCGATGCAGGCGCTCAATTCAGCTTGAGAGCCTGTTCGCAGGCTACATCACAGCTTGCAAGAGCATCATAAAATTAGTAATATTCCAAAGTTTCGTTGCAAAATGTTGTAAAATGCGGATAATATAGCCTTGCGAAGTTTGCAAGTTTCAGTCATTTTAGATTACAAACGGGAAATGGCTACCACTTCTGTGGCTGTTCGTATTAATAAAAAATGACTGAAAATTACAAACTTCGCAAGGCTACTTTATCCGCATTTTACAACATTTTGCAACGAAACTTTGGAATATTACTAATTTTGTGATGCTCTTTCATGCTATGATGGAATTTTGTCTAGACTTGTTGAGATCAAAATTTTGGTTAATTGGGGGAATGGTCCACTCCTGGCTACAGTTTTTCGAAGCCATAAAAAGTTTTATCAAACGCTATACTTTATTAAATAAATTGCGTGTATCTTCATCATGCTGTACAGCTGTAGCTTCGATATATATATATATATATATATATATATATATATATATATATATATATATATATATATATATATATATATATATATATATATATATATATATATATATAAGGTTTCGTTGGTTATAAAAACTTTTGGTAAAGTGCTCAATGGAAAACCAGAGCATATTTAAATTAAGGTACAACAATCAACAAAATCCACTAGTTCGATTATATTTATATATATATATATATTAGGTAGGACAAATGTTGCATTGCAAAGTAGTAACACATAATATATATATATATATATATATATATATATATATATATATATATATATATATATATATATATATATATATATATATATATATATATATATGTATCTATATGTATATATATATATATATCTATATGTATATATATCTATATGTATATATATATATATCTATATGTATATATATATATATCTATATGTATATATATATATATATATATATATATATATATATTATATAT